ATACTCTCTCTCTCTCTCTCTCTCTCTCTCTCTCTCTCTCTCTCTCTCTCTCTCTCTCTCTCTCTCTCTCTCTCTCTCGTTCGCGCGCTCTCTGGAACCCTCCTGAGCACAGATATTCGCACGGGCGCCATCCCAGCTTGCGCGGCTCCGCGCTCCTTCTCTCCTTCCAAACGAGATGAACCTGGTGCACGATCGCGTCCAGGTACATCCGCTAGAAGCTTCCTACGCATGAAATTAGATAGTCGTGATCTCGAACCAAAGCAGATTTGCGTTGCATTAGCTCTTAAGCGACAATGCTAGCTGAGTCTCATCATCACCAACAAGGAACCGATGTTGAAATCCTGTTCGGCGCTCGGCGCCCACGAGCAGTTCTCGGCCAATGTCGTTCGCCTCAAGCACCAGGTATGTCCCTCGTATCGCTCCCAACCTTGGTGACGTCAACCGGATCCCAAAGCATGAGCAGATCCCGACCATCGTCGTTCGCTTCATGCACGAGGTAAGTCTCTCATATCACTCCCAACTTCGAACCCGCGAAAGCTCGCTCCGCTCAGGCCGCAAACGCTTGCACGCACTCCCCCCCACACGGCTTCCTCTTTCCCCCCGTGCAACTTCCTCTCTCCAACGTAGCTTTGTTTTCCCCGCGCGGCTTCGTTTCTCTCGCAACTTTCCCTTCAGCACGGCTTTCCCCCGCGCGGACCTCCCTCGTGTCGCACATCCCCCGGCGCAGTTGTTGTTTCCGTGACTGTGCATTCTCCGTGTGCGTTGTCGTGGGCGCTGTGCTCCACACGCTTCCGCTCGCCCCTCTACTTCTCTCTCACTCTCTCTCTCTTCCGCGCGCGCTCTCTCCTGTACTCTCGTGCGTGACCTCTCCAACCTCGCGCACCCTATTTGGCGCTCGGCGCCCTGACTCCAGGTGGCGGATCCTATCTAGCCTACTATCTACAAAGTCGCTGGTGACGTCTACATCTTTCTGAAGCATGAGCGGATCTCGGCCAATGCTGTTCGCATCAAGCACCAAGTATGTCTTTCTCTCTCCCTCTCACACACACGCCCATAGCCTGCGCAGTTTCGCACCACTTCGTTCGTCAATCACGCAGCCTCTTTAGCCGCTTGCGCAACTCTGCTCTCTCGTGCGCGGCTTCTCCAATGTCGGGCGCGACCCGCTTCCACCCGCGCGCAGGCTGCGCAGCCAAGATTGGTCCGCTCGGCCCTTTCCGCCCATGCGCAGCTTTGTATTCCGCGCGCAGCAGCTCCACACACTCACCCCGTACCTCTCGAGACTAGAGTCAAACTCGTCGAGATCTTCTCCCCTCCCCATCGATTTTGCCAAGTC